CCAAGTGGTATACGGGTTGAGTATTCCATGTTAAAGCATGTGTGTGCATGTACATGTACGGGCAACCATTGATCAAATGTGTGAAGAAAATAACAACCGACGGAAATGTCAACGAATGTGTCGGGCGCGAAACGGCGCTTCTTCTTCTCCTCGTTTCCTCCTTTTTTTTTCTTTTTTTTTTTTTCGGCCCAGCGTGCACTCGGTAGGATGTGGTTGTGCCTGCCCTTAGTGCATGGGAGATGATGCCTATGGCCATGGACACACTTGTCCATTGTGTTTCTCTTATTCTCTCTTGTTCTCTCTTTCTCTTTCTCTCTCTCTCTCTCTCCCACTCTCTCTCTCTCTCTCTCTCTCTCTCTCTCTCTCTCTCTCTCTCTCTCTCTCTCTCTCTCTCTCTCTCTCGCTCTCTCCCTCTCCCTCTCTCTTTCATGCTCTCTCTTACTCGTAGTTCATGGGGGCTGGTGCGTATAATCATGGACATGCGTGCCCACCATGTTGTATCTCGTTCTTTCTCTTTCTCTCTTTCTTTCTCCCCCTCTCTCTCTCTCTCGCTCTCTCTCGCACACTCTCACTCTCTCTCTCTCTCTCTCTCTCTCTCTCTCTCTCTCTCTCTCTCTCTCTCTCTGATCCTCCTCTTGATTGTTTCAGAGTCTCTTTGCCAAAACAGTAGGCCTTTAAGAAGGTAGTTTTTTTTTTTTTTTTTTTTTTTTTTTTTTTTTTTTTTTTTTTTTTTTTTAATCAAATCAACCAACACACATAGCAATGCTCTCCTAGCATGCATCATGCTACCGAGCGGTGAACCACATGGGACCGAGGGGGTTGTTGCTCCCCTTCCCTATCCTAGGCCCAAAGCATATTCCTACCCTTCACTAGGGCTGGCCTCTTGCCATCGCAAACCCCTAGGGTTGCCCACGGTTTTCGCACTCAAAAGTGCACCGTGCCTAGCTCTCAAGCGCCTATTCCCATGGCCCGCTCCTACACCACCGAAGCAGGTCCTTGGCCGCCGTGCCCGTTCCTAGGGCAGGCACTTGCCACGTGGCCCGGCTGGCCGCAGCGGAAGCACGAGCCCCGAAACCCGCGGCAATTGGCCGTGGGCGGGGGGCCCCGCTTGGGTAAAAACGGCAACGGCGCGTTGTTTCCGCCGCGGTTGGCACGAGCATATCCGCTTGCCGCACGGTCCATTGCCGCCATGTCTGCGACCGCCTGCTTGAAGGGTCGAGAAGTCAGCAGGCTCTTCTACTGGTACAACTTGAAGCGCTTCGTCGTGCGGAAGTCGGATGCGTCCTCCACTTGAAGCACCTCGAAACGCCCCGAGATGAGGTTGAGAGCGTGCGAGATGAGTTCGAGCCCGCCCGCTGGGTCTCCGCGCTGCGCCTTGTATTCCGCGTGCAGCAGGTACGCGCGCAAGTCCTCCAGCAGCTCCGCTTGCTCTCGCACGGAGTCGTTGACGAATGTTGCCGCCGAAAAGGTGAGGTTAGAAGAAGGGAGGGGGGGAAGGTGTTCCGTGCCATTAAAATTAACATTGTTGACTGGAGCCTCACCGGCTTCATCTTCAGAGTCGTCGGTGTCGTTGTCGACCGCTGGAGCGGGGGGTGCTGCTGCTGTTGCGTCGTTGTCGTGCCGAATTGTCCTTGCTCCTCGCGCGCCTTTTTCCTTTTTTGCATTTTCTTTTTTAGCCGACGCAGATGCAGCGGGTAGTGCAGTTTCCGCGGCTGTAACGATGACGGGCTGCTGCTGTAGAAGGGACAGCAGCGCGTTGACCTGGTCCGGGGTCAACGCCTGCGTCAATGCAGGGGCGGTCGTCGCGTCAGACGAGGAGACCGCCGTCCGCCTCCTCTGGCGCTGACGCGACAGTCCAGCCGCGGGTGCTGGCGTGTGCTCGGCGTCAGTGGCGTGTGCCACGCCCGCGGCCGTCGCCACTTGCACCGCAAGTGCCACTGGCGCCACAGGCACCTCAGGCGCCACTGGCGCCACTGGCGCCGAAGGGTGCTGCTGGGCGTTGGCCGAGTTGTTGACCTCGAGCCCGCCCAGCAGCACGTCCACTGCAGTCGGGGCGGGCGGTCCATCTTCTGCCCGTCGCTTGTTACGGCGTTCGCCCGCCAAATCGCGGGTGTTACGGTCGTTGTCGGAGGCGGGGTTGGACGAGTTCCCGTTGTTAAGTGTCGGCGTCGGTGCCATCGTTGAGCGATTGAAGTTAAAAATATCGTTGAGTAAGGTCGAAGGTGACTCGCCTCTAGGAAGCGATTTTGTTCTAGCCAGCTTGGACGGAGGGATAAACTACGTGAGCAGAAGTGTTGAGTGAGCCGTTTGAAAATCGAGAAACGTGGGTGGAGGGAAATGAACTCCAACCCACGGTTTTTGTAGTTGGAGAAGGGCGTTTAGCGCGCTTCCACGACGCCAATTGTGCAGTACAAGCAGCTTCGCTTTCACAATACACAATTTTAAAAAACACAATGTGTGTTAAAAAATTATAATTTCTACAAAGCGTTACAGAACTCCAAACTGCTACCATTGTATCCTGTCCTCTGCCCTCTGTTGAGTATTTGTTTTAGCGCATCTTGGACCACTATTTTCTCAGTTCTCACTAGCAAATGATTGCTGTACCGTATGTGTCGATCAGATAACATTTTATTGTCACCTTCCTAGCGCTCCTAGACTAATGTTGACAGTCAAGCACATAATTTGGAGCAAGAACTGCATCGATCCCGTGCACCACTATCCGGCGGGAAATCAGCGCGTTTGGCCGTACCACATGTGCCCTCGCTGCTAACTCCTTAGCCTTATCAGAATCCGTGACACCCCCCGCCAGCAATTGCCCTGCGGCGACCCCTGCACCAGTAGCTGATGGCACAGCAGCAGCAGTAGCAGCAGCCAAAGGGTTGCCTGTACCCCGCTCTTTTCCACCTTGATCAGATACCCCAGCACCAGCTGGTGAAGCTAAGGGGGCGTCCTTGACGGCCAGTAGCACGCGCCGCTTGCCTTGCTCCAGGGGCGCGTCAGGCAAGCGAACCAGGTCCACTCCTTCTGTGCGGAACTGTGGTTACCAGGGGAGGAAGAGGGGAGGAGAGGCGTAGCATAGCAGGACTCAGTCACGTTGAAAGGTTGGGGTGGAAGCACCAGCAGAGGATTGGTGACAACAACAAACAACACTCCAACATGCTGCGTCTGCACGGGGTTTCCCCATTCCTAGTGCCCATTAGATGATGAGTCCATGTGTACAGGCAATGCAAACACTCCACCAGGGGTATTCCTTCCCCACTGCACATCAAACATGCTCATCCAGCGCCCGTCGCATGCTCCTGCCCGCGTTCCTGTGGTGCAGGCTGGGTGCGTATGGTGCCATGGCCGGCCCTGTGGCAGGCAGGTAGCGCATGTGGCTACAAGTGGGCGAGCCGAGGCTCAGACTGCGCCACACAAGCAAGGAGAGACATGACGGTAGGTGGGGATAGAGTGCGGTGGTGCTACCGGGGGGAAGTGGGGAGGGGGAAGTGGGGAGGAAGAGGTTTGGGACGGGGGGGAATAGGGAGGAGGGGAGTTAAGGGGGGTGGAGAAAGGTCAAAGCTTAGCAGAGAACCAATAGAAGCGAGAGAAGAATGACGTTGGTGAATGACGTCGGTCTAGCTCATTCGACAATCCATACGCGTCTCCATTCTCCGCCCCCCACATCCCCCACATACCCCGCGTCTCCATTCCCCGTGCCGAGCGCGGGCTTACCTCGAATCCCGGCGCCTTGAGCGCGATGCGGGAGAAGGGGAAGCGCCCGCCGACGAAGTGCGTGGCGGCGATGGTGAGGCGCGAGTCGGCGTCGGCGCACAGCCGCGGGTGCTGCGCCGTCAGGCGCGCGAAGGCGGAATCCGTGGGCGCGAGCAGCGTGAAGCGCGTGCCGTTGGCCAAAGACTCGCGCAGGAGCGACGGCACCTCTGCGCGCCACGGGGGGAGAAAGCGGCATGCGGGGGGGAGAGGGGGGGGGGGGAGGGGAGGAGTGGGGGAAGGGGTGTGAGGGGGTGATATAGAGAAAGGAGGTGCAAGAATCAAATAGGAGGGAACGGTGGAGTCAAACGAGTCGGGCGACCCAAACGAGCTGGGCGAGTCAAACGAGTGGGGCGAGTCAAACGAGTGGGGCGAGTCAAACGAGTGGGGCGAGTCAAGCGGGAGGATCCCCCCCGGCGTGAAGAGAAACGGCAAACGCAATTGCAAAAGCAGTGGCAACAGCAGCTGGCAAAGGAGTATTTCCAGTGTCGTGCGGGCGGGGGGGGAGAGGGGGGGGGGGAGGGGACTTCTTGTTCCAGAAGCCGAGGAGGAAGCTCGTCACGCTGAGTCGGAGCGCAGCGAAAGGACCGCGCGAAAGAACGGGTTACCCCCACGAGGCTCCAAGAGACATTTATGTTTCACATATTTTTCACCCCTTCTTCAGTCCATTCCTCCCCCTCCCACCTCAACGTCAATCTGCTCCGTCCCCGTCTCTTCACCTGCATTATCTATTCCCGTTGCATTCTCCGCACTGGCCTCCCCTCCGCGCACCTGTGCGCTTGAGCGCCGCGGCGAACTGCGTGAACTGCCCCTCGGGATTCTCAAGGAACGCCAGGAGCTTCGCCGCCTCCCCCGCCGGCGAGTGTTCGGGCGGAGGCGCGGCGAGGCAGGCGGGCGGAAGGACGCGATGCGCGATGACGACGAGCAGTGCCGAGAGACGCAACCTCAGGTCGAGCGCGCTGAGTGGTTGGCGGCGCGGAGGCATGGCGTCGCGGTTGGGGGACGTGGCAGCTCGGTTTCGTAGCTCTTGGTGGGTAAACACGCTGAGATCCAGCGCGGACAACGGCGAGCAGCCTGGTACGACACACGTTTGAGGCGATTATTAACTTTCAGTGACAGTACACCACTCAGGGAGCTATCCCGCTTCCGTCTCACAAAACAAAACAGCGTTCGTTAAAAGGCAGCAGGATGCACTGAAGTTAGGAGGTCGTTGGAGAAATTACCATCGCTTGTCGCCACTAGAGGGGACAATGGTAGGCCAAGGCAGGACGGACGGCCAAGGCGGGTTGGAGCCATGTCACATGGGTGGGTGGGTGGGGGGAGAGGGGCCAATTCGGTTGCTTGTTTGCTTGCTGTGCTGCGCCAAGCGTCGCTCGGGAAAGGGGGCGCCGGCTGCGGAAGGCGCATTCAAGAAAAGGGGAAAGGCAGGCATGACGCGCTGCTGCTGGCACAGGTGGGAGTGTGTCGCGCAGGGGCTAGAGGGAAAGTGCGGTGGTGGGATGGGGTGGGGGGACCAGAGGGGGAAATGCAGCAACGAGGGGAAGGGGCTGAGTGGAATGTCGAAGCGCGCACGACGGAACAGTAAGCGCTCCTTCGGTCACGACTGCGGATGTGTACATTTTTCTAGTGTATCTCTTATAAACACTATCAGTTTTATCAATGTCAATTAATCTGAATTCGCAAACATTTTTTTAGCAGATATATATCGCCAAGTTTTATTCTCAATGAACTTTATTCAGTGTCTTAGCAGACTTTTGTTATGAGACCGAAAAGGAGCGATCATAAGAGGTGGCAGGTCTTACATGCCCTGAGATTAGTAATAAGCTAAAAATGATTTCATTTTTTTAGTCTTAACGGATCGAATATATTGCAAATATACTTCACAAACGTACGTAAATGCAGACTGCGTTGTCAGGTGTACCACGCACTATACAAACGATTTTTGTATCAACAAAGCGGACAAACTAGACTCCATTCCAGCCCAGATCAACCAAATCCAAACCACTGCGTCACAACACAATCCCTTCACTTACCTGTGATCCGTTCCGTTGCAATGGCCCCGCGAGTCGCGGCGTCTCTGCCTCGCCTGCTGTACCGCCACCACGCGCTCATCCTCAAGGCGTCCGTGTCGCTCTTCCTCGCGGTCGTGCTCTTTCTCGCCGTCGACCCGCTCCAATGGCGGCAGGTGCGCGCACGACACGTGTTCCACACGTGCCCGACTTAGACCACCCTCGCATTCCCCTCTGGGGTGTCTCATGTATTGCCTCCGCGTGCCGTTAATCGTCATCGCGCGTGCGCTAATCGCGTGCGTAGCCAACACGGAAGGGTATTCGTCGCCGTGATATGCATACATTCTCGCAGCGCAATCGCCACGCACAGCCATAGATTCCTGCTGTTCTCACGTTCTACCTTCCCCCAGCTCTTCCCACCACAACCGTCAGGACAATCGGCCATCTATTAACCTCGGCTTATCCCATCCCAACCCCCCCTTCCCCCCACTCGCTGCCCCTCCCTGTCCTTCCCCCTCACCGCAACCTACAGAAACCCCCATCACACCTCTTAAACTGCGCAGCACACGTTGCCCCCTCCGACCCCGCTACTACAAGAACTGAGACGATTTCTGACACGCCTCAGGAGTTCTCTTGCTGCGTCTCGCTCTCCTTCTTCTTCCCTCTCCTCTCCTCTCCTCTCCTCTCCTCTCCTCTCCTCTCCCTCACCCTCTTCCTCCCCCCTTCCCACCAGCGCGGGGAGCCCCCATTTGACTTCTCACACTGCACATCCCACATCCCCCCGTCCGACCCGGCTCCAAGAACTGGGACAATCTATAAGGCGGCGCCTAAACAAACATTGCTCTCTTTCCTTCCCCCTCCCTCTTCCCCCCTCCCCACCAGCGCGAGGAGCCCACATTGGACCTCTCCCACTGCCCAGGCCACAACCCCCCTCTCCTTCCCCCCGCCCGCCCCCGCTCCCCCTCCCCGCTCCCTCCCCCTCCCCCTCCCCTTCCCCCTCCCCCTCCCCCTCCCCCTCCCCCTCCCCCTTCCCACCAGGGCGAGGAGCCCCCATTGGACTTCTCACACTGCCCGGCCCACGCCACCCCGTCCTCCAACCCTCCACCCCGCCCCTCCTCCGCCCGCTTCGCTTACACGACCCTCATCACCTCCCCCAGCTACGTCATGTCCGCGCTCGTCTGGTGCACAGCGCTCCGCCTCACCGGCACGCCGCACCACATCGTCCTCATGACCGCCATGGACGACCCCTTCTTTAATCTCCCCATCCTGCACCGCCACTTTGATCTGATCCTCCCGGTGCCGCTGGTGCCCAGCAAGTACGGCGCGAAGCACTTTGCGAAGCTGCAGGCGTGGCGCATGGAGCAGTACGAGAAGGTGGTGTTCATGGACGTGGATGCGATGGCGCTGGGGAGTCTGGACTTTATGTTTGAGAGAGAGGAGCCGACGGGCGTGCCGAGCTACTTCACAGAGGCGTTCAACAGTGGGATGTTTGTGCTTAGGCCTTCCCAGGTGCGTCCATGCATGTACGCATGTGCACATGCACATGTACATGTACATGTACGCTCATTCACACAATCACGGAGATGCGTGCACACACAAACACACACACACTCACGAACTCTCACCGTCACCCTCACCCTCACCCTCACCCTCACACTCATATGCACGCACATGCGATGCGGCTGGTGAGCAGTACTATGTTGGACACAAAGAGGTTTGTCCCCTTTCCCACCAGATGCCTCCCCAAAACTACTTGACTCCTAAACCCCATATCCACACCCTTCCCTCTGCCTCGTCACACCTCTCACCCTTCCCAACCCCTGAAACCCCCACCCTCCTGCTCCCGCGTGGCACCTAAGAGGCCACCATCCTCACCAACATAGACAGACAGGCAAGCGTGCGTCACTCCACCTACTTTTGATGCACCACTGAACTCCCTCTCGCGTCCGTCTTCCAACCCCTTTCATAACAAGCCGTTTTTCATCATTCTCCAACCCCCCTCTTGCACCCGTAACAGGCCGTGATTAAGTCCTTTCAAGCCTCCCTCCCACGCCCATGTGTCCCACCAAACCCCCCCCCTGCAACAGGCGACATTCACCTCCCTGGTAGCCAGTATGACGTGCTGGGTTCCACAGACAACGCAGGCCAGGGTTACCTCTACCGCTTAGTAGATTGCTCAAGCCTCCCTCCTACAAACACCTGCGCCCCCCACCCCACAACAGGCCACATTCACCTCCCTGGTGGCGAAAATAGACGTGCTGGGCTCCACAGACAACGCAGACCAGGGCTACCTGAACCGCTACTGGCCGGGCTTTGCCAACATGTCCACCGCCCACCGCCTGCCCTACCGCTTCAACGCCATGCTCCTCTACCCCCGCAACTACCCCCCTCCGCGCTGGTACGACGTGGACCGTGCACACGAAATCATGGGGCCTGTCATGGTGGCTCATCTGGGCGGGCCGTGGGGGAAGCCGGCTGGTATGGGCTCGAATCGGCCTGTGCCGGGCCCGAATGGGTGTCACTGGTGCTTTGTCAATGGCGAGCAGCCGTATGCGGTGTGGCTGAGGATTTGGTATAATGTGTCCCGTGCGTTGTATGATAACTGCTGGTACCCGCTGGATGCGGGGGGCGGGGGTGCGAGCGGGGAAGGGGGGAGCGGGGGGGGTGGAGGCGAGCGGGGGGAGGAGCGGGGGGAGGAGGGGGAGGAGGGGGAGGAGAGAGTGTTGCTGAGGAGCAGCAGCAGCACAGGGTTTTCGCTCACTGCAGGGCTGCTGAATGCAGCAGATTATGAATCAGAAGAGCCGGGGAAGAAGCCTCGTGCGGCTGAGTGGGTGAGACCAAGCATGACGGAGAGTGCCGTGGAAGGACCAGGCGGGGCAGAGTTGGGTCACACGAGCGGCAGCAGTGGCAGCAGCGGCAGTGGGGGGCGAATGGTGGTTGCAACAGTGGTATCAGCACGCAACCACCATGCGGCAGTCCCATGGGCGATGTCTTACAACAAGCACCACCCGCCCGGCCCTTCCCGAGTCCCCTCCCTCCTGCTCGTGCTCCCATCCGTCCCCTCCTCCCACCAGAAACTTCTCGAGCCACTGTTTGACCACGTGCGGGTGGTCCTCTCGGTGGGCCGTGCGGGGCAAGAGGGGAAAGAGGAGGGTCAGGATGAGAGTCACCAGGAGGAGAAGGAGGAGGGGGAGGAGGAGGCGGAGGAGATGTCAGTGTTGCAGGTGTGGAGCCAGACGGATTTCGACCGGGTGCTCTATGTGGATGTACTCTCTCTCTTTGCCACCAACATCCAGCTTGTCTTCTCCGAATTCCAGCCGTTTGCTGCGCCCCCGCTGCGCTTCCCTCCTGACATGTTCTCTACGAGAGTCATGCTGCTGCGGCCGAACCAAGACGTGCTTTCACGGATGCTGCAGACGCGGCACGAACGTGCGAGCAGCGGGAGCAGGGGGAGCGGTGGGAATGGGAGCGGTGGGAATGGGAGCAACACCGAGTACCTAGACCTGTTCCTGAACGCGTACTATGGCACCTGGTTCTATGAATCGCCGCAGCACCGCATGCCGTACGCGTATGCGGTCAACCTGAGGTACAACCAGAGGCTAAGGCAGTACCAGCCGCACCCGCGCATTGTCACGTTTGACGGGGACTCGCCGATGCACATGGATGTGCGAGTGTGGGCGGACCCAACAGGGGGGTCAAGTGTTAACTTTGGCCGTGTGTGGCATGGGTACTGGCAGGAGGGGTTGGGGCGCTGGCCGCGGCTGCGGTCGTTGCAGGCGAAACGAGGTGGGAAGAGATGAGGAGGCGAGGGATGGTGCTGCGCGCGGTGCTGATGAATATATACAGGGTTGGATTGGAGTAGCTTTCTATGTGTGTGCTGCATGTGATGCGGCGTTGGGGAGTTGTGGTGAATCCTGATCTGTGAGAATGTATGCATCCCCCCCATGGTTCTGTGTGGGGTTTCAGAGGTTAGTTCAGATGCTGGTTATCAAGTATGCTTGGTGATTATTAAAAAGAAAAAGAAAAAAAGGCTAGAATTCAGGAGAAAATATCTTCCCGAACTTAGGCTGGGAGTGGGATACTGGTACTACTAAGAATGCAAATACATGGAGGCAGGTTGCTTATTTTTGAAAGCGAAGGTAATTGTTGAAGATTTTTACTGTGGGTTTCAGGGCTCGTTACGGAAGTCCCAGATTTTCAGTGCCGTGATAGCGAAACGCATCATATCGCGTAAAGCTGCGGGTGCCGCCAAATAGCCTTGACTGGGATAGGCACCATAATTTACCTTCGCTTCTCAGCTCAGCTCCTATCGCGTTGTGGTAAAAAACGAGCCTGCATCCCGTTCCGTTCCGTTTTGCGTTGCCGTGCCGTGTCGACCATAGCAATTAACGTCCACAAACCATCCCCTGAAGCTACTTTTCTTCTTCCGTGCCCGCCTGGTTCGACCCCCTTCAGCCTTCACATCCGCTAGCTTGCTAAGGAAGGAACGTGCGAGTGAGCTAGCGAAATACGGCGATGTGTGTCGCGCGTTGCGTTGTCGCGAGCGATCGCACGAAGCACTGTAGAGATACTAGACCCCGTACTAGTCGCTGCAGGGGTGCGCGGCCTAATGGGCTGCTTAATGCGCTGTCTGCTGCGCTCCTGCTACTTCTGACAGCCGTCGCGGGGACGTGGACGGTTTCGCCGGGATCGCACATTGGCGTCGCCGGCGTCGCAGCCACTGCAGAGCAGCCGTCGCAAGGCAGCAGCAGCATTTTCGAGTGCGACGAGTCGCAGGCGGCCATGTATTCGGCGACCTTCGATCCCTGTACTTTCTCTCTCTCCTCCCCTTGCCGAATACTCATCTACGATCCATCGATAACAGCGTAACACGCGTCCAAAAAAAATATCTTTCACGATAACAGTGTGATAACAGACGTCTTTCACACTGTTGATCCTATTGCTCAAGCGTTTCCTTCACGCTCTGCTGCCCTTTTAATGAGAGTCAAGAATACTCATCCACGATCCATGTATCACGCGCCCAAGGCCCCTTGCTCTCGAGCGTCTGAGACTCCCAAATCCTCAGGGTGGTGTTTTTGAGGCGCCTCAAAACTCAGGGTGGTGTTTTTGAGGCGCCTCAAAACTCAGGGTGGTGTTTTTGAGAAATCTCAAAACGCCCTGCATCCAAGATTGAATTATCCAGCTTTTTAGCATCTGAGAGCCTGCCTTCATGCATGGAGCATTCACAAATCTTCCTCCATGCATGTGCGCCTGCCCTCATCTCCTCACTCTTATCGCACATCCGGATTCACCCCCCGCCGTTTCACTCGCTTTTCTTCTGTGCTTCGCGCGACCCCCTCTTCCCTTCTGCCCCCGGATTCGCCATGTGAGAGGCCACGCAACCTTCCCATTCCTCCCTTTCCTCCCTTTCCTCCCCTTCCCCCACCCTCGCTCGTCCCCCATCCCATGCGCTCGCACCTCTGCTGCCACCAGCTCATAGCCCTCCTCCTCGCAGCACACACCTGAGCACCGCGCTTCTGCGCCCATTCTGCATCATCCCCCTCCCCCACCATCGCACCCGCTTCCCTGCCTCCCATCGCCCCACCTCCCCTCATCCCCCTCCCCCCGGCCCCCTGCGCCCTCCGCCCGGTTCCCAGCCAGTACGCCACTGCAGGAGCAGCCCAGCAGCGCGCGCACCTGCTTCCCCCCTTCTCCCGCACCTCCCTCTGCCCGCCCTCTCGCTCATCTGCTCATATGTACAGACGGGCTAAGGCAGGGAAGCCAATCTGCCGGCTTCCCCGCCTTAGCCCATCTGTGGGGGGCAGGCAGCTGAGCAAGGACTTTTGAGGCGCCTCAAAAACCAATCTGCCTGTTTTCCCGCCTTAGACCATATGTGGGGGGCAGGCAGCTGAGCAAGGAACGCCTCCACTTTTGAGGCGCCTCAAAAGCCTGCCGATCTGCCTGCCTCCGCGCCTTAGCCCATATGTGGAGGGAAGTTCAGCAAAGAACGCCTCCACGTGTTTCCCCACTCGTATTCTTTAACGCCTCACCTCCCCTTTCCTCCTCTCCCCCTTCCTCCTCTCCCCCTTCCTCCCCTCCCCCTTCCTCTCATCCCCCTTCCTCCCACTTCCTCTCATCCTCCTTCCTCCCCTCCCCACTTGAACCTCTTCCCTGCCCATCTCTCCCCTTTCTCCGCTGCTTCCCCCTTCCCCCTCGTTTGCACCCCTCCAAGCCACGGCAGCATCAGTGCAGAACCTACCTAGCCACAACGCACGTGTGGGAGCATTGAAAGCACGTGGCGAGCGAGGCTCCATCTCGCACCCCAGCTCCAACTTCCCCTCCCCTCCCCCTCTTCCGTCACACTTATCCCCTCTTCCCCCTCCCGCCCCGTTCCCCCCAGCCACAGCACCATCAGTGCAGCCACCGTGATCTAGCCATAGCACACCTGTGGGAGCAGCTGAGCAAAGCACAACTCCACGTAGCAGAAACAAGCCATGCGTGTATCCCACCCTCCTGCTCCCCCTATCCCCTCGCCCCTACACTGCTTCCCCCACGTCTTGGTCTTCCAGCCACAGCACCATCAGCGCAGTATCTAGCCATAGCACACCTGTGGGAGCAGCTGAGCAAAGCGAGACTCCTCATGGCAGAAGCCATGTGTGTGCCGTGCCCCTCCCTCCCGTTCCCCCTGTCCCCTCACCCTCGCACCTCTTCGCTCGTTTCTTCCCACCAGCCACAGCACCATCAGTGCAGTACCTAGCCATAGCGCACCTGTGGGAGCAGCTGAGCAAAGCGCGGCTCCACCTGGCAGAAGCCATGGCCCTGGCGCGCCACTGGGGGCGCATTCTCGTGGTGCCACGTGTCGGCAGCAGCCGCATCGGCGGCAACTACCTGCCACGTGGCACCCTGCCCGCGTGCGCGTACTTTAACACGGAGCTGATTGGCCGGTTCGTGCCGTGGGTGCGAGAGGAGTTCCTGTGGGCTTCCGTGGTGCCTGCTTGGGAGGGGCGGAGGGGAGGAGGCGGGGAGGAGGGGCAAGGGGAGTGGATGGGATGGGGAGGAGAGGTTGGGGGGGGAGGAGGAGGAGGAGGGAGAGTAGGGAGAGGAGGGGAGGGGAGGGGGTGGAGGAGCAGCGTTGTTCTGCTGGATGATTTCAAGGGGCAGCGATGCAATCTGGTGCGCTGGCTGGCTGGCCGTGGGAGGAGGGTGCATAGTGGTATAGAATATAGATTAGCAAAGGATGGAACAAGTTAGGTCTGCTGGATCTGGATCGAATCTATTCCTCTATAGAGTGCAGAGGGGCTGTAAAGATGGTGCAGGGAGGGTGCAGGGAGGGTGCAGGGAGGGTGCAGGGAGGGTGCAGGGAGGGTGCAGCAGGGAGGGGTGTTCACTGACCATCATTGATCCACCCCCCATGCGCTTCCTTCTCAGCTCACCTCCATCCCACTGCACTCACTTCACTGCTAATGCATATCCCAACGCCCCAAAACCCACCCCTCTCACCACGCGCCCCCTCACCCACCCTTCTCAACCCCCCTCCCCCTTTCCATGCATTCTTCCAAGTTCCAACCAATCCCCACCCTCCCACCTTCCCACTCCCCCAATCAGACCACCACACTGCTCAAAACGCGTCTCCCCCTCTCCTCTTCCTTTTCTGCAATCTCTACCAATCCTCAACACACCACCCCCTCCCCCCCCCCCCCTAACCAATCAGACAGCCACACTGCTCAAAACGCGGCAGCCCTTCCCGACCGCCCCGCACGTGCCGGCCTCGTGGAACACCTCTCTCTACCGCCTCGCCTTCTCGCCCTCGTCGCCGCTGCACTGCACCACCAGCTGCGACGACCGCGCGTGGTTACGCTGGTTACCGCCGATTGCAGAGGACCTAAGGGTGCCGGAGGAGGTGGCAGTGCTGATGAAGTTCACCCACACCGTGTGCCTTGGTAGACTGCAACCGCTGGTGGGTGTGGTTCTGGGTGTGGTTGTGGGTGTGGTTGCGGTGCTGTGAGTGTGTTCAGCTGCGTGTGCCAGAGGAGGTAGCGGTGCTGATGAAGTTCACCCGACTGGGTGTGGTTCTGGGTGTGCATGTGTGCTTGTGAGTGAGAGCATGTGGTTGTATATGAGTGGGTGGGGGAGTGAAGGGAGAGGTGGTGTTTCGTGTGAGTGTTGTGCTGATGGTGTGGGGAAAGGAAGCGCTGTTGTCTTTTGTGTGTGTGTGTGTGTGTGTGTGTGTGTGTGTGTGTGTGTGTGTATTCACCTGCGGGTCCCGAAGGAGGTGGCAGTGCTGATGAAGTTCACTCATACAGCGTGCCTGGGCCGCCTGCAACCGCTGGTAGGTGTGTGGATGGGGCCTGGGTGTGTGTGTGGGGGTGGTGGGAATGAAGGGAGAGGAGGTGTTTATTGTGTGTTGACTCGCGTGTGCGTGCGTGCGTGTGTGTTCCTGAGGAGGTGGCATTGCTGGTGAAGTTCGCTGATATGGCCCCATCTGGGTGTGTGATATGGCATGCCTGTCCGTCTGGGTGTGTGATATGGCATGCCTGCCCGTCTGGGTGTGTGATATGGCATGCCTGCCCGTCTGGGTGTGAACGGTTGCCTGCCCGCCTGCAACCGTTGGTGCGTGAGTGTATGGGTATGTGTGGGAATGTGTGTGCGAGTGTTTGCCTTCCCACTCCCCCTCCTGGTCCCCCCCCTCTCAGGCTGAGCTAGCCCAGGAGCACATAGCATATGCACCACACCTGCACCGCCTAGCCTCCTCGTTCGCGTCCCAGCACCTGCAGGGGGACGGGCGGTACGTGGCGACGCACTGGCGCGTGGAGAAGGCCATGATGAGCCACCGGTCGGCCGTGCAGATGCATGTACGCCGCATGGGGAACATAGCCCATACGCCCAGCCAGGACTATCCAACCCCTCCTCCTCCCCACCTCCCTTCCCCCGCCTCTAACCTGCTCACTCTCCCCCCACACTCCCCCATACACCCCTCCCCCCCTCAGGCGGAGCTAGCCCAGGAGCACATAGCATACGCGCCCCACCTGCACCGCCTAGCCTCCTCGTTCGCGTCCCAGCACCTGCAGGGGGGCGGGCGGTACATGGCGGCGCACTGGCGCGTGGAGAAGGCCATGATGAGCCACCGGTCGGCCGTGCAGATGCACCAGTGCGTGCAGGGACTGCTGCGAGACACGGCCGTGTGGTGGCTGCAGGAGCGGGAGCGACAAGGGATGGTGGCGAGAGGAGGTGGAGGCGGAGGGGGAGGTGGAGAGAAGGACAAGGTGCCGGTGTTTATGGCAACGGATTTGACTCCAGAAAACCAGTGAGCGAGGGGGGCAGGAACGAGGTAAAGGGGTAGATGGATGGATGCTTGCTTGAAAGGTACGGGAGAAAGCGATGATGAGCCACCGGTCGGCCGTGCAGATGCACCAGTGCGTGCAGGGACTGCTGCGAGACACGGCCGTGTGGTGGCTGCAGGAGCGGGAGCGACAAGGGATGGTGGCGGGAGGGGGTGGAGGAGGAGGAGGAGGAGGAGGAGGGGGAGGGCGAGGAGGGGATGGGGACAAGGTGCCTGTGTTCATGGCTACGGATTTGACTCCGGAGAACCAGCGAGCAGTCGCTGCAGAAATGTGGTGTGAATGTTGACGAGTTATTTGTTTCTGGAAGGGGAGGGAAGGTTTTGGAGGTTATGGGGGAGGGGGAAAGGTATATTTGGGGTGTACTTATTATGTGTGTGTGCTCTGTGTTTGTGAGGTGATTTTCGAGTCGACTCAGAAGTCACCTTGGGAGAGGTGTATGTGGGGCGTACTTCCTATTCGTGTGTGCTCTGTGTTTGTGGCCCGCTGTCGATGTCCATCCATCCATCCATCCATCCATCCGTCCATCCGTCCGTCCATCCATCCATCCATCAATCCATCCATCCATCCATCCATCCATCCATCCATCCATCCATCCATCCATCCATCCATCCATCCATCCATCCATCCATCCATCCATCCATCCATCCATCCATCCATCCATCCATCCATCCATCCATCCATCCATCCATCCATCCATCCATCCATCCATCCATCCATCCATCCATCCATCCATCCATCCATCCATCCATCCATCCATCCATCCATCCATCCATCCATCCATCCATCCATCCATCCGTCCATCCATCCACCCATCTCCTGCCCTCTCTCCCTTCCCTCTCCTCTCCCTCCCGCCCTCCTGCCACGCATGGCATGCACATCTCCCATGCCGTGCTGCAACCAGGTGGCTATCAGGAACGGCACATCTGGACCAGCACCACCGGGACGTTGCATTCCACGCCGTCAAGGTCAGCACCTCGCCATTACCTCCCTTGTCGTGCACGCCGCTTCTGGGTTTATGAGATTTCTCAGAGTCCGCCGCCAGGCACGGTGCATCTGGGCCAGCACCACCGGGACGTTGCATTCCACGCCGTCAAGGTCAGCACAGCACTGCTGCTCTACCTCCGTTCTCTTGCACGTAGTTTCTGAGAATGATCAAGAGCCACCACGCACGGCACATCTCGACCAGTATCACAGGCGCACTGCATGTTACACCACCAAGGTCATTGCTACCTCCCTTCACCCCCTCGCACCTCCTCGCACCCCCTCGCAACCACCCCCCCTCCATGAATGCTCCTCAGCCCAAGCCATTCTTAGAACAGCATGCAGGGCCGTGCCCAAGTCACCCTTAGAACAGCATGCAGGGCCGTGCCCAAGTCACCCTTAGAACAGCATGCAGGGCCGTGCCCAAGTCACCCTTAGAACAGCATGCAGGGCCGTGCCCAAGTCACCCCCTGTCTGAGTCTCAGTCGCCCGTGCCATCTCTCCTCCTCGCATTACCGGTACCATACAGCACGTAGCAAGTTTACTATCCCCATCCCCTTCGTCTGCTCTTTATGCCTCGTCCACTCCTCTCTCATCCATCCATTTATCCCATCCCTCTTTTCCGAAACTCTCACACGTCCCACCTTTCCGGACTTCGCAACCCTCCCACCCTCACCAGGAGCTCTTCTCCCGGCTACAACCCTCCCGGCTCGAATCGTTTCTCCCTGGTCTACAAGAGGCGGACATTGGAGTGCAGGTATGTGCTGTGCTGTCCATACTGTACACTCGTTAGTGCCGTACTCGTTAGTGCCGTACTCGTTAGTGCTGTACTCGTTAGTGCCGTACAATCTGTACGAATCTGGACATGACATGACATGTACAAATTTGCACTGCAGTGTCGACGTGAGCATCACTGCTGAATAGTGTGTGTTTTCATTCAAGCTGACTAGCAATGCCTGCCCTAGTGTATGCAGCGCTCTCCCTCCCAACTGCAGGAACTCATATCCCTAGTGTATGCATACACAAGGCAGCAATGTTCCTGTGCCCATTGCCCAACTGCAGGAACTCATATCCCCACGTGTGCCCGTTCTCCGTTCCCATGCACCCCCACCCCTTCACCCCCACCCCTCTCACCTCCACCCCTCTCTCCCTCTTACTCCCCAACCAGGCCATATTAGACAAGCTGCTGTGCATAAAGGCGGCAGTGTTCCTGTACCCACCGCCAAGCTGCAGGAACTATGCACATACAGGGAGCGGCTCTGCAGTGGCTGATGAGATCTGCTGGTGGCGGGAGCGGCAAGGGAGCGGTGGGGGAAATGGAAAGGGTGTAGCTCCTTGCCGCATGTGGAGTGATGGACGCTGATTGATTCTTTCAATTGTGGATGGATGCCTCGCATGCTTTCCTCTTACAGTACGTTGCTTGCCTCGTGTTTCAATCAATCCAACCAATTCAGCGGTGACGCGGTTGTCATGTCATGTCATGTCACTACCTGTTCCGGTCCGGTGTCCATACCGTATGCTTGCCTAGCTCCTCTCCATTGTCGCAACAAATGGTTGTGTCCAAAACGTAGTATGGTACCATACCATACATGACGAGGCATGATACCAGTACCATTCCTGCACTAGGCTGCTGAGTACCGTATTATAGGAGGTGTACAGGGGTATCGTGCAACTGCAAGAAAGCCTTTGAAAAAACGTGGTGAAGGCAAGGCACACATAAAGTCCACCAAAGGATGGACACAGAAACGGACGGACACAGCAAATGCAGTAAAGGCACAGCAACTTTTAGTAGGATTTCAGTACACGCACAGTACCAGTGCAGCAAATGTGGTACATGGAGCGGCAAGCATAGATACAAACGCGTGCTATGTACAATCCAGAGGCGTACCTAGTACCGTACACAAGCTTCTAACTACCTTAACCTAGTACACTTAGACACAAACACCATGCAGCATTGGTATCCTACCGGTACATTAGGCCACCCCATTCGTTCACCATGGCATAATAACCGAGGAGACAACTCCTCTGGACACCAAGGGTTTCCCTCACCAGAAGTACCTAGGTCCTTTCCTTTCCCCCAGGTAAAATTGTCCCACACAGCTGCTGGAGCTGCGACCACAAGCCACCACCAGGAAAGCAGGTGCTTTGGCGTGAAATGCCAATCGCGTTCAGCAGCAGCGGACGCAGCAGGTACGGGAGACGAAGGCGAACCTCTGTACGGGGTCACGCGAGCTGCTGAGTTAGTACCGATCTTGCTAAGCCACTAAATAACCCGGCTGGCAGTGGAGCAAAATTCCAGCTGGCGCTTAAGCGCCGCCAGACTAGTGTACACGCTAGCCTAAACACGCTCTGGCCTAGTCAGTCGCAGCACTGCCGTTGCTGTTGCTTCTGCAAAACTACGCCATGGCCCACACGCGTTGACGGATGAGGTCCCTTTCCCACTGTGCCACGTCATTGAACGCGAATTCCGGAAGCTGCTCGAACTGCGGCTGGTACGGGCTGTTCTTCGCTAGGTCGTACGTCGCAGCGCGTATCGCGTCCTTCTTCGGACCGCACGGGCGGAGAGACGTTACGTGATCGTACGCTGAGTTCAAGTCGACCTGCGGCTCGGAGAACCAGAAGAGGTAAGCAATTACCGCGGCTGGGGACCTCCCCAGGCCCGCGGTGCAGTGAACATAGACGGTCTTCCCCTCTGCGACGGCTTTCGCGATAACGGCGACCATTCGCGGAAGTTCGCGGCGTAACGAATGCGGGTCAAAGTCAACAGCGGGGCACCGGGAATGTTGCACAGACAAGTCCTTGCATCGCCGAACGATACTGTCGATGTCGACGCCCCAGTAGGTTATATCGTGGTCCTGCTGGAGATTAAGAATCACTTGCACGTCTTCTGATGCCTTTAATCGGTCGATATCGGCGGGAGTTTGCGGTTGCGAGCCGACGATGATCTTTGGATGGACGCGCGTGTAGTAGATGCCGAGCTCGTGGTGATACTCGTACGGATTCGCCATCTGCCGTTTCATCTTCTCGTTGTAATCGAACGACGGGGGTACGACGAGCGGCTGTGGCAGCTGAGTCTGCTGCTGCTCGCGCTCGATTGTGCTCGCGGGTGCCTCGCAGCGAACGACGTGCGACGCATGGCGACGAGAGCTGGAGGTGGAGGCGAAGGAGTGCGACGACGAATTGAGGGTTGCTGGAGTGCAGTCCGAGAGTAAGTTATTGGAGTGGCGATGTCCGGCAAAGGACGCGGAGAAGGATGGATGCCCAATCGACGCTCGATCAGAACGGTTGGACCCATGATTAGCGGACGGCACGCCAGCAGTCGCAGGGTTCAGACCTAACGGAGAGGATAATCTACGAGGGATGGATACAGCCATTCCAAAAAAACACGGAATTAGGCGTGCTGGTCACACAGTCGAATGAAAAGTTAGCAACGATGTAAAACCTGCTGTGTGGGAGGAATAAGGCTGCAAGGTCTAAGTCTGACTGACGGATGGGTGCGGAGAGTGGGAGAGAGAGTCAGGAGGAGGATGTGAGCGGAGAAACAATCAGGAGCATTTTACACTCGGTCGAGTGACCCCTTTTTATTTGTGTGAGCGGATCAGACCAGTCACCAGGGGCAGCTGGACCCGCGCTTCGCAAGGAGGTAAATTGGAAGGGTGCGGGTGGGAGTGCGGGGTGTTGGGGGAAAGTGTACGTGGTGTTGCGGGGGAGAGGGAACAGGTGGTGTTGTCGTCGAGTTTGAAGGAGTTCCCGCGCGGAATGAAATTCCGCTCCTAACTTGCGTCTCCGTCGGAAAATGGGGGGAATAGCGGAGCGGAGTTTCATCAGGGTGTTTCGGGAGGACGGAAAGGAGAGCGCAGTCCTACAGTGTGGGGGGGCAGTGCAGTGCTTGTTTGTGCGCGGGGGCAGCGGGCGGAAGCACCTAATAGCAAGTCCATCACCACCATGACGGAACGTAAAAGTCGGAGATTACGGCATTGTTGTCGGAGCGTAACGAGAGCGTGATTCAATGTTCCAAACTTCAGCTTTGTGTCAATGGTCCCCTGGGAATCATGTGATGCGAGTCCAATCATATTCATTGAATGGATCAACAGGTGGAACTCGAGATTGCTGGTGTACACAACAAGGTACCTTGTACAGAACCTTCGTTACGGAATACACTGACCGCCCAACCCAACAACCAATCCCCGTCACTGCTGGAAATTGGAAGTTGGTCACTCGATCCGCAGCCTGAGGTTCCAACAGAAAGCACCCAGGAACCATGCGGAAATGTCGGCGACCTGGCGATTTTTCCACGTGTCGTGCTCTCACTCCATGCGCGCTTGCGCTTTATCCAAAGTGTAGTTCTACAGCGGCTTCAGTTGCGTGTGTCCCATGCACGAGCGGATAAGCTGCGGTTCGATAGAAATTTGAGGCGTTCGCGTTGCACAGCCCAGCAACGGAGGAAAGGACAGAGCGCCGTGTTTTCAAATTTCCAATTCCAGTGGGCAGTGGTTTTGACAGCGCATTGCTCTGCGCTTGCGTCCAATACCTTGGGGCATATTCTTTCTCAGTTCCCCCTTTTAAGTCCACAAATACAAGTTGCTTTTAGGTCACTGGGTATTAAAAATGTGATCGTCGAGTCCATGGCAAACGCTCAGCTCGGGACAAAAAAAATATAACCCTCATGGATGGTATGCCACGAAGAGAGCATCAACCATAAACACCATGAGGCAAGGTGTTTAGGGTTGATGCCTCCCAAATGGCTTGTCATCCGAGTGGGTTTTAGTTTTTCCACTGGCCTCTACACTGAACCCAGGTAATCTTAATATTTGCCCTTCTATACATTTGGTCATGAAAAACGGGAAACAGCAATATAAACTGACCGCGGGAATTGGGCGCGAGCGCGGTGGGAGTCGCTGTCAAAGCCACTGCCGAAAGGAATCGAAAACGCGCAAACACGGCGGTCCGTCATTTCCTCCCAGCGAGGAAAGGACAGAGCGCCGTGTTTTCAAATTTCCAATTCCAGTGGGCAGTGGTTTTGACAGCGCATTGCTCTGCGCTTGCGTCCAATACCTTGGGGCATATTCTTTCTCAGTTCCCCCTTTTAAGTCTACAAATACAAGTTGCTTTTAGGTCACTGGGTATTAAAAATGTGATCGTCGAGTCCATGGCAAACGCTCAGCTCGGGACAAAAAAAAATATAACCCTCATGGATGGTATGCCACGAAGAGAGCATCAACCATAAACACCATGAGGCAAGGTGTTTAGGGTTGATGCCTCCCAAATGGCTTGTCATCCGAGTGGGTTTTAGTTTTTCCACTGGCCTCTACACTGAACCCAGGTATCTTAATATTTGCCCTTCTATACATTTGGTCATGAAAAACGGGAAACAGCAATATAAACTGACCGCGGGAACTGGGCGCGAGCTTGGTGGGAGTCGCTGTCAAAGCCACTGCCGAAAGGAATCGAAAACGCGCAAACACGGCGGTCCGTCATTTCCTCAGCCAGAGCGCATCTCAACCGCACACCAACTCCTTGTTCCTTCATTGCTGAACGAGTCTCCGTTAGAAAGGGACCATGTGTTGCGTGAATTCCGGAATTTACTTTGATCTCTCTGTGTTCCTCGCACAATGTACTACAACTACACGATTAGTTGCATTACAAGATATACCTTCTTGAACAACTAGAGACAGTAACGGAGCTGACAGCACGTGGGTACTGCACGGGGGGTAGAGTGCTCCTGTGTGGCTAGAGGATGTATGAGGCGTTCGATCAGATCACACCATTCACAATCCACTAACGAATCACCCCACACATTACTGTGAGGACATATTAGGGTTGGCGGTTAGCCAGTATGCCGACCACCGACTTCCGCTCCACTCAAGACAACTACTTGCTGCTGTCAATTGGTCGCAGCTCCTCGACTTGCTAGTTTCGCGGATTCTCGTCCTAGGCGTTGCGGCTTAGCTGGCAGTGTCCACTCGGGCTCGTGCGTTGCATTCCCGCTAAGGCCAAGCGATCACCGACATTGCTTCCTTAATCGTCAAACCAAATCACGAGCAACCATTTCGAAACGTTCTCGCGCGAAAGCCTGCCTCCTGTGCTACATCCGTTCCGCCTCTCTCTCACTCTCTCATGCTTCCCCCGCGTCGCGACCAAGATCGACCTACTGCCCCTCCACATTCCAGATCGCCCCTCGCCACTCCACTCCGTGCGTGACTTGCTTACAAAAAGTTCTCTGCTGCCTGGGGATTACCTTGCCTTCGGCTTAGCTTTGCATCCTCTCGAGATTTGGCTGTGTTCTATTCCGAATATCCGCGATCGGACGGTCCGAAATAATGATTTGGTTCTTTTCTTCGCATGATTCTCTTTCTCCCTCTCTCTCTTACACCCCCCCTCCCCGCCACCCTCCTTTTTGGTGATTGCATTAAGAGCAGGTGCTCTCATAAGACTTACATAATTTGCCCTCTTACCACAGTAACCGAAAATAGGGTTACTCTCTTCGTGTGCTCTCTCACCCCCCCTCTCTCATCTCTCCCACTCACCCAGCTACCATTCTCTCCCCCGTTTCCTTACTTCCCCTCCCCACCGCTCCTGTGCACCAGCCCACGTGGGAATCCCGGAAGGCGTGCAGTCCCCGCAACCTCCTTGTTTGAGTCGACTAACAGATCCACGTGAAAAAAAATCTAGACTCCTGACGGCAACACCTCTGGCCTCGCGCTGCCATGTCTTGGGCGCAAGGGGGAGGCGGGGGCGTGGGGGGAGCGCCTCCGCCAACGAGCACTATTTACGTGGCGAATCTGCCCCCGGGCGCGGATGAGGAGCTGCTGGCGGAGCACTTCGGCACCATCGGGCTCATCAAGGTGCGGATGGGTATGGATGGGTGGGGGCGGGGTTCGCGCTAGCCAGATGGGCTCGTGGGCTCATGGGTGCATGGCGGATAGGCGGACGGGCGGATGGGCGGACGGGCGGATAGGCGGACGGGCGGATGGGCGGACGGGCGGATGGGCGGACGGGCGGATGGGCGGATGGGCGGATGGGCGTAGAGGAAGGGACGTATGGGTAATAGACAGGCAACATGAGCTGGGCTGAGGGGCTATCGGCGGGAATCTGGGGTTGGGTTGGGGAGCGCCGCGGGGTTCAATGAGTGAAGGGCGCGCGTGAGGAATAACTAGCCGAGCATGTGTGCAGCACCGGATCCATCAACGTGGGGGATTAAGGTGGGGGTGGGCTGGGGTTTAAGGGAGTTTTTGGGTCGGGTTAGGTACACGTGTTTGGAGATTCGTTGATATAGAATGAGGGAATGGTTCTGGGGTTTTCTGAAGTGACGGGGTGAGGTTGTGGAGAGGAAAAGGTAATGGTGCTTTCCTCCCCCTCCCCCCTTCCCCCCTCCCCCCTCCCCTCTCCCCTCCCCTTTCCCCTCCCTTTCCGCGATTCCCTCCCCCGCGCTTCCCCTCCTTCCGCTCATTCACAGAGGGACAAGCGCACGGGGCGGGCGAAGGTGTGGCTGTATCGCGACAAGGAGAGCACGGCGCTCAAGGGCGACGCCACTGTCACGTACGAGGACCCCTTTGCTGCCGTCCTCCTCCATCCCCGTTCTCCCCCCCCTCCTCCCCTCAACCTCCACCTTCCCTTTCCCCGTTTCCTCCACTCCCCCCTTCCCCCCCACCCACCCCATCCCCCCTCCTTTCCCCCCCCGTCCTCCCTCCTTCCCCCCCCTGCACCCCTCCCACAGAGGGACAAGCGCACGGGGCGGGCGAAGGTGTGGCTGTATCGCGACAAGGAGAGCATGGCGCTCAAGGGCGACGCCACCGTCACGTACGAGGACCCCTTTGCTGCCGTCGCCGCCGTCGACTGGTTCCACAACAAGGACTTTCACGGCCGCACTATTGCTGTCTCGCTCGCTCAGTCCAAGCATGGCAGTGCGGGTGGAGCCGGGGGAGGGGGGAATGGGTTTGGGCATTCCGGGGATGTGAGCGGGAGAGGCGAGGAGGGGGGTGGCGGAGGGGAGGTGAGGGGCGGTGGTGGTGGTGATGGTGGGGCGGTAACGGCTGCAGCGCAAGGGAAGCCGTGGCAGCAGCAGGGGGACTGGATGTGTCCCAATGCAACGTACGTGCCGTGTCGTGTCGTGTTGTGTCGTGTCGTGTCGTGTTGTGTCGTGTCGTGTCGTGTCGTGCCGTGCCGTGTCGTGTCGTGCCGGGTCGTGTCGTGTCGTGCCGTGTCGTGTCGTGTCGTGTCATTGGGGGAGTGCGTGTAACGTAACGGCCTCCTTGGGATGCCTTGGTGTGCTGTGCGGAGGTGCTCGAGTCGAGACACGGCTGGGTGGGATTGCTCTGGCATGGGTAGAATGGATGGGGGAGGAAGGGAATGCATGGGAAAAGTGTGGTGGGGTGGTTGGGTGGTTCGTTCCATAGTGCTGGTTTTGCTGTAAGATCCCACGCCCCCTACTCGATTTGTTCAGTTTACTCAAAAATCGACTTATCACACGTTTGGGTGGTTGGTTCAATCCCTCTCCTTGTTGGTTTTGCTGCAAGATCCCTCTCCTTCCATGATTCCATCCCACGCCCCTACTCCTCCTCTCACTCCCTGTTCAGTCAGCGTTCCTAAACAGCAGAGGCACCATCAGTTATCCTCCTCGCCCCACTCCATGCACTTCCTTCTCCCAGTTTTGCTTATCTACGCGAGGCCTTAACGTATGAACGCGTGCGCCCGTCCTTCGGCCCTGTATCTCTCTCAGTAACCCCCTCCTTCCCCCCTCCCTCCTCTCAACCCTCCACCCCCCTCACCCCTCCATCCCCGCCTCTCCTTCCTATTCTCTCCTCTACTCCCCCTGTCGCCCCCTCTCTCCCCAGGTGCGGCAATGTGAACTTTGCCTTTCGGGGGGAGTGCAATCGCTGTGCCACGCCCAGACCAGCAGGGGGAGGGGGAGGCGCAGGGGGAGGGGGAGCAGGCATGGGGAGGGGGGGAGGCAGAGGGGGGAGAGGGGGCGACTCTGGGAGAGGGGGTCGAGGATTCGGGGGTCCCCCAGGGCTGTTCGGACCAATGGACTGGCCGTGCCCCATGTGAGTTAACGTGCCTTGATTTGTACTTGACTTCGCCCTCCCTACCCCTTTTCCGTGCCTTTTCTTTTTCCACAACGAGGTGCGCCACATATTCCGATATTCGACCTCCTGAACTTCCTTGCTTTGCCTATCCAACTAGAGTTCAAGTAACGCCCTTTCTCAGTCTCATGTTTACCTGATCCCACGGCTGGATTGCACGAGGCTGCTGCTGCGCTGCTCACCCTACCTGCCCCAAACCCTACTAATAGCAACAGCATGTCTGGGCCATCATGTTGTGCACCTATCATAAGTGCTGTGCATACAGCTATATCGGAGTCGCTTTTAAGATTTTTTCAACAGCAAGTAACGCCATTACCATGTTAAGCAGATCTGATCAGATCAGAGGAGAGTTCGACTGGCAACCATGTTTTGTTGTACCTCCCATCACACAAGCTAATCTTAACCCAGATCCCGTATACGTGTGTGCCACGCTTCTCCTCCTGCTACTGCTGTGCTGGTCTTGTCCATTATACATTGTGTATGCCCGCCTGCTCTCTTCCCCCTGACCACTTCCTCCCCCTGCCCCTTTTTCCCCCTGCGAGCCGCCCTGCGAACCCCAAACCCTCAGTCTCATGTTTACCTTCCCCCGCGTTTCCCCCCTCCCCCCCCCTCTATTTCCTCCTGCGCCTGCTCCCCTGTGTGTGCGCGCACAGGTGTGGCAACATGAACTGGGCAAAGCGCGCCAAGTGCAACATCTGCAACACCAGCCGCCCTGGGACCAGCGAGGGGGGCGCCAGGTGAGCATGCTCTCTTCCGCGCGCCCCACCTCCCCACCTGCTCAAAGGAATGGTGTGAATAACTACACAGCCAACCAAGAGGTAGTCAACCAGCCCAGCCGCCAACGGAAAGTTTGGCGGTAAAAAGAAAAACAAATGCGGGTAATGGGACTGTCCAAGCGGTTTGCCCCACGCTGGCATTCGCTGTTGTGCCCTGTTGTCCTCCCCCCCCCCCCCCCCCCCTCCCCCCCTCCATCTCCCCCATTCCCCGTTCCGACTTCCCCAACACCCCACGGTCCCACTTCCTCCTCCGCTTCCCTCCCCCGCGTGTGTGGTTCCTTTTCATGCAGGGAGGGCCGTGGTGGCGGGTACAAGGAGCTGGATGAAGCCGAGCTGTTGCCTCTATGTCTCGTTCACTTCACTCTTGTGCCCTGTCTTGTCTCCCCGTTCCTTTTCACGTGCTGCGCTCGCGTGCAGGGAGGGCCGTGGTGGCGGGTACAAGGAGCTGGATGAAGCAGAGCTAGAAGAGACGAGGAAGCGACGCAAGGAAGCCGAGGAGGTGCGAGGGGGAATTGGGGAAGAAAAAAGGGTCGGTCGGAGAGTGGGGGAGGGGTGCTCGGGGGATGGACGGTGGTGGTTGGGAGTTGGGGAAGGCGTTGGTTGGTGCGTGGAAGGAACGAGCAAAGGGAAGGGATGAGGGGTGAGACTTGCCTCAATATTATGGAATGGAGTGGATGATACTTGCATGATATGGGACTTGCCATGGGATGGGATGCATGATGGTTGCTTGCTGTATTGTTTCCTTTGATTGGCACTTGCTTTTTAAGGACGATGACCTTTGCAATCTATTCTCAAGTCGACTCAAAAATAGACTCATCACACGAGCATGTCCTGGGCAATCTCAGGATTTTTTTTATTTTTATTTTTCCCAAGGCATTGGTGGTTGGATTTGCAGGTAACGGAATCAGCCTCCCCTGACCTCCCCATTTTTTTTCGCAAGGACATACAACCCCATGCCATCATATCCCCATCACCTTATCTCCCCTCGCCGTCGGACGGCAGGGAGATGTATGACAAGTTTTCGCAACGTCAAAAACGGTTCATGGGTTTACTCTAAAGCCCAAAAATTTCCACTGGGTCCACATCTCTCCCATGCACATGTGACCCACTTACGTCCACAACACCCCCCTCTCCCCCTCCCCCCCAACCCCCTCCCGCCCCCCCACCCTCTCTCCTCCTCCTCCTTTCCCCCGTGCTCTCCCCCAAACCCCCTCGCTCAGGACGACGGGAGATGCACGACGAGTTTGGCAACCTCAAGAAGAAGGCCCACTCCTCCGCACCACTCCTTTTCCTCCCTCCTCCCCTCGTTCCCTGCTCTGTTCCTCCCAGCCATTCGCCCTCGCGCAGGACGACGGGGAGATGTACGACGAGTTCGGCAACCTCAAGAAGAAGTTCCGCAAGAAGTCTAGTTTCGAGGCGCCTTAAAACTCGCCTCCCACCCATCCCCCCTTCACTCAGGACGGTGGCGAGATGTACGACGAATTCAGCAACCTTAAGAAGAAGTTTCGCAAGAAGCTCGCTGCTGATACCGCTGCTGCAGCAGCTGCTGTTCATACGTCGGCCATAAGGTCCAATGCTTCTCACCTTTCCCGCATCCCCTCATACACGTGACCTTACTTCTGCCCCCCAAAACAACCCACCCCTTTCCGCTCCCCCCCTGCTCTCTCCCGATCCTCACTTCACACCAGGATGATGGGGAGATGTACGACGAGTTTGGCAACCTCAAGAAGAAGTTCCGCAAGAAGCTCGCTGCTGATGCTGCTGCTGCAGCAGCTGGCGGGGCAGGAGGCAAAGGGGGTGGGGACGGCGGGGCGAGTGGAGGGGAGGGAGCGGGTGGGAAGGAGGAGGGGAAGATGGGGAAGGCGCTGTGGGAGGAGGATCTGAAGACCATTCATCGACAGGGCAGCCGCAAGAATCAGGTGCGAGTGTTGCCCGCTTGCGTGGTTGTTTCTCGTGCATGTAAGCTTGCGAGAATTACCCTGTGAGAGTTTTTTTAGTGCTTGTTTAGAGCCTTTAGGCCGGCCAGGTTTGCATTAGTGGCTTGAGGCACTGGGTTTTCTTATGACAGGATCGACCTGGTATGAGAGGTCTCTGAACGCCGTAGGCCCTGCAGGTTTGCAGTACCACGAGTCACAAGTTTGGCCGCTGTTTGTGTGTTTGTGTCTTTTGTTTGTTCTTTTGCCTTCTTCTGCCCCCCTCCTACTTCTGGAATCCTTAGCTTACTGTCTTGTGAACTTCACACAGCCTAACTCCTCCTGCCCAGCGGCACATTTGCCTTCCTTGAGTCGACCCCACCCACCCACCCACGTGTGAAACATTTTCTTTGGATCAGTGTGCTCTCCTTCAAAACATCTCAACACCGTGCTTGGCAGGATTCGGAGCGACGGAGCAATGCCCGGCCGTGGGAGTTGCAAGAGGAGGAGGAACAGGAGAGGCGTGGAGAGGGGAGGGACCGTGGTAGAGAGAGGGAGAGAGACGGGGATGGTTACCGGGACCGGGACAGGAGCAGGGACAGGGAAAGGGAGAGAGATAGGGAGAAAGAGAGGGATGGGGATGGTTATCGGTACAGGGATAGGGATAGGGACCGGGACAGGGACAGGGATAGGGATGGAGTAAGGGACAGGGAGAGGGAGCGAGACCGAGACAGCTACAGGGAGAGAGACAGAGACAGGGACCGGGGCAGGGACCGCGATCGTGACAGGGATAGGGATTGGGAGAGGGAGAGGGGCAGGGGTGGAGAGAGGGACTGGGACAGGGAGAGAAGCAGAGATCGGGACCGAGGGCGCAGATAACACAAGGGACGAGGGAGCCGGTGCATGGTTGTTGCACTTGGGAGGGAAGCATGGGTAACATGAGTGCAGGTGTATGTGTGACCCTTAGTGGGTTGTGGACGAAAAGGATGCAGTGAATTGAAATAGTGGAAAGAATGGGATGCTGGGTGGGGGGCTGAGGAAGGAGGGGCAGGAAGGAAAAGCAAGCAAGGAGTGCTGCACAAATGATAATCAGAGGAATTGATTTTAGGTGTTTGCAAAAGACTTCGCACAGTTGGTTTGTGGGGCTCATTTCTAGGCTTGACAGAGACATTAACATACGATTTGCGCTAAGACAGATGATCATGACTAGAATGTGATAACTGTTGGGAACAATAAGTCTTAAAGCGCCTCTGTCGTGTCGAAACTCAGGACACAAGCGAAGCAGTCCAAATCGAAGCATCGCGAGTCAACCCTCGGAGGTTATGGTAACCGCCTGGAGGTTACGCGAAGGTCAAAAGTCAGCGACCTTTGACTTGACAAATACAGCGCGACAGCAAGGACACACAACTGACTCGACATTGAGCACTTGCCCGAGTCGCACTGTATCGAATCGCAACAGCAAAATAGTTTAATTATATCTATTCGTCTTCCTTGTACTCTTATATAAAGCCTTGTATTTGCTTGTTTTTGTTACGAGTGCAATTGAGTGAACGAACGAGAATTGCACTATCGAAGCAGGAGTACAAAATGAGCGAAGGCATGAGCGAAGGATTATATAGCGAAGCAATAGTGGTAACGGTAATGGACTGTGGTTGTCGCGCGACGAGCCTGGGACTGAGGTTGGAAAAGTGTCGAAGCGTAGGCCCGGAGCGCGGGTTACCAGCCGAGCCGTGAGGTCGGGATGCGATGTGCGAAAAGGGCGGGATGATGAATGATGCGATGGTCGCGAGTGGTAACGGTGCTGACTGAGGTGCTACAGTGATGTACGCGTTGAGCAGGGACGCGAAGTAAGGAAAAGGGAATTTCCTTACACTACCCCCCTCCCCAAGGAGGCCCCTCTTACGAGAGCGCATGGACGTCGCGGAAATTTCGGCTTCGCAGATACTCGGTGAAGACAGGGTGGTTCTCAATTTTATCCAGGGGGACCCAGTTGTCTTCTGTGGGCGTTCGATCCTTCCAGCGAATTAGGAATTCGATCCGTCGTGCTCCCCGAGGGTTGCGGACTCGGTGGCTGAGGATTTTTTCAGGGGTGATTAGTGGTTCGGTTGGGGGACGTGTCATGCTGGCTGGGCGATTTCGTGGCAGTTGGCTCGTGGATGGTATGTAAGGGCGAAGTAGGCTGACGTGGAATGACGGGCTGACGTACCAGTCAGCAGGGAGGAGGAGGTGGGCGGTGACGGGTGTGATCATGTGGCTGATGCGAAATGGCCCACAATATCGGGGGCGAAGTTTTGGAGTGATGGGCAGGCGGAGGTTCTGGGTATCGAGTAGTACCAGGTCGTCTGGCTGGTAAGTGACAGGTCGACGGTGGCGATCGGCGTTTCGTTTAGCGATGATGTTGGCTTTTTTAATTGCGTCTGCTGCCCTGGTCCGTGCTGCTTGCAAAATCTCGGCGAACTGTTGGGCTCGTGGGACTGGATTGTCGGGGTGTGGGGTCATGGGTACTGTTGGGTCCTGTCCGTAGTTCAGGTAAAACGGTGACTGTTGCGTCGTGGCTGATGGTGCGTTGTTGTACGCGAACTCGATGAGCGGCAGCTGATGTTCCCACGTGTTCGGATCGTCGCACGTGGCTCGAATCAGCTGCTCCATGGTTTGGTTTGTCCGTTCCGTCTGTCCGTCGGTTTCGGGGTGATAGGATGAACTGAATTGAAGTCGTGTGCCGAACTGCTGCCACAGGTTCCGCCAGAAGTTGCTGGTGAATTTCGTGTCGCGGTCGCTGATGATTGCCGATGGTATCCCGTGGAGGCGAACGACGGTGGTGATGAAGAGGCGGGCTGTTTCTTCGGCTGTGATTGATTTCTTGCATGCTGCGAAATGTGCCATCTTCGTCAGTCGATCGACGGCGACCAAGATCGCGTCGTTCCCACTCGCCCCGGCCGGTAACCCCGTGACGAAGTCCATCGTCACCTGCTGCCAAGCACGCTCTGGGGGTGGGATCGGCTGCAACTGTCCTGCCGGCCGCTTCCGTGATGATTTCATGACCTGGCAGGTGGGACACGATGCTACGTGTCGTTGGATGTCGGTCAACATTTCTGGCCAGTAATAATACCGCTGCAGCTGCTGTCGTGTTTTTTCTACCCCGAAATGTCCTGAGGTAACTCCGTCGTGTGCCTCTTGTAACAGTAATTCCCGTAGTAGTGTATACCCGGGTACCCAAATGCGGTCGGTCCCAACCTTTACGTAATAGATCCCTCGTGCTGCTGCGAACTGCTGCGAGTTGCCTCCTGTAAAGAACGGGTCGGTTTGGTATCCGTGGGTAAATAGGCCTGTCAGCAGTGGGCTGGTCTGGGCGAGTAGTATCGCGTGAATCTGGGCAGTAGGGCGAGTCAGTGCATCGGCGATATTTGATGCTCCTTTTTTGTAGGTGACCGTGTAGTGAAAATTCGACTCGAGGAAATCGAGCCATCGAATCTGTCGTGGGTTGAGGTGAGGCTGTGCGCGGAGGTACTGTAGAGATTTGTGGTCTGTCCGTACTGTCACGTCTGCGCCGGTCAAGTAACAGCGCCACACTTTGAACGCATGCACGATCGCAAGCATTTCGCGATCGTGTATCGGGTAATTCTTCTCAGGTGGGTGCAGTTTTCGTGATTCGTATGCGATGGGCTGTAGGCCGTTCCCGAAATCCTGTAACAGTACGGCTCCGATGGCGATGTCGCTTGCGTCAGTAATGACTTCGAATGGGCGGTGTGGGTCGGCAATGCGCAGGACAGGTGGTGAACAGAGAACAGTTTTCAGGGTAGAGAAGGCAGCATGCTCTTTCTCCCCCCACGTAAAAGCGACCCCTTTCCGCAGCAGATCCGTCAGTGGGGCAGTTAAGCGGGCCATGTCAGGCACGAATCGACGGACATAATTAACGAAACCCAAAAAACTCTGCAGCTCCGTGATGTTTGTCGGGGGGTGCCAAGCTTTGACCGTATCCAGCTTTTTCGGGTCAATCTCAACCCCAGCCTCTGAAATAACGTGCCCCAAAAATTCTAACCTATCCCGAAAAAACTCGCACTTAGACCCCTTAGTCAATAAACGATGCTCCTCGAGAATTTTAAACACTGCTTCCAGGTCCGCTAAATGCTGCTGCTTATCGCGGCTGTAGACGAGAATGTCGTCGAGGTAGACGATCACGCACTTATCTAAAAGTGGTCTAAACGCCTCGTTCATGGTCATCTGGAATGTTGCGGGTGCGTTGGTTAGCCCGAAAGGCATCACGGTGTACTCGAACGACCCGTACCTAGTTCTAAAAGCTGTCTTGGCGGAGTCCGATGGTTCGACTCTAATTTGGTGGTAACCTCCCCGTAGATCTATTTTCGAGAACACCCGTGCTGTTCGCAGTTGGTCGAGCAGTTCGTCGGCGCGGGGAATGGGGTATCGTGACTTTATTGTAACCCTGTTGAGCGCTCGGTAATCGATGCACATGCGAAAACCTCCGTCTTTTTTTGGTGTGAATAGTATCGGTGC